CTGTATTCAAAGGCCTTTTCCCCACCATATTAGTAGCCCCTTTGCCCATACCATTCATTTCCTTAGGGTAGGCAAGTAATCCCCATAAGCTATATTCCTGTGCATGCAATGAAGGAGCGCCACCCCTTCTTCAATATTGACTTTTTCGTCATTCCCATCATGGACTTCAAAACGACCGGAGTCAGTAATCAAAGTGACATTGAGAGGCCACTTTGGTCTGCATACTGGCTTGGTCAGCCAAATGGGTTCACCCCTCGTTAGAGCCTCACCGGTAAAATCATCGGTATCGACCTCTCCACCCCTTGGAAGCTACTTTACATCAAGAATTTGGTAAGAAGGACCAACCATTATAAAGGGCTCAATGATTCAAATGAAAAATTGCTAAGGCACTGGATAAGCGCCGATTGTGCACTCAAACCTTAGCGACGGCTAGGCACTCAAATTTTAGTGCCAACTGGGCACTCAAACCTTAGCGCCAGCTACGTCCACTAACCCTTAGCACCGGCTAAGTATGTCAATGCTTAACGCCGGCTATGTCTGCCAATGCTTAGCACCGGTTGTGTCTGCTAACGCTTAACGCTGACTAGATTTGCCAAAGTTTAAGCACCGGCTGTGTCTGCCAACGCTTAGCACCAGTTGTATCTGCTGACGGTTAGCTCCGACTACTTTTTCCAATACCTAATGCTAACAAGAATCGGTCCTTACACAGTCGGCATACAAGACTCAAGTCCAGTCGGGGCATGCTGAGCCCCTACAGACCGACTTACCGAGTACGACTCGCCAACCCCGACAGTCCACTACTCCACCTAGCTCTGACCCTCTAGAAGAAACGGTCAGCCATGGTGATCAATGAGCCTAATGATGCCCAGGAAGAGCAAATGAACATGTTCGAGGTGATGATGCAGTCCATTCTCGAAAAGATGGAATACCTAGAGGCCTCCAGGCCCCCTTCTTCTCACCATGAGGCCAACTCCCCGCCTGGAGAGGACACAACTCCCAAGCAAACTTCCCCACTGGCCTCCCAAGAAAGTTCTGCTCCCCGCATGGTTTCACAAGCCGATATAGATGTCATGGTGACCCACAGTCTCAAGAGTAAGATCCGGGGCATGCAAGGGGCGCCGAATTACAAAAAGCCATACCCCATTTCCCCCAGACTATCAAAAAGGGAAGCTCCCCCTATTCAATGGTACTACATCCCCGCACCAGCATATCGCTCACTTCCAAGCGGCTTGTGGAGAGACGACAGTTGACAGGCGACTCCTCCATCAGTTCGTCGAGACTCTCGAAGAGCCATCCTTCCAATGGTATGTTAGGCTACCTCCAAGCTCAGTACACACATGGCAAGAAATAGAGCAATTGTTTTGCCAGTGTTTCTATGAAATCCAGAGAAATGTGGAAACCATCGAGCTCCTCCCTCTTAATCAGGAGCCTGGTGAGCTAGTCGATAAGTTCATCACCCGATGGATATAGTTGGCAACCTATCAGGCCACTCCCATGACTGAAAGAGAAATAGTTCAGACCTGCATACAAAATATGCTGCCCGAGATTGCCCTGCATGTTGAGGCTTCCAATCCAGTCTCTTTGTCAGAGCTCATCTCTAAAGCGGTTCGTACAGAAGGTCTGTCTAAGTACCATGGAGGATCTCGTCAGCAGCCCTCTAGCTCGGGAAATGGTTGAGGCAATGGCAATTCTCGTTCCAATAATCGGGGCAACCAGCAAAAAGGGGTGATTAGTGCGGTTGTCACTGTGACTGACACTAAGAAAGGCGCCCCTCAAACCTTGGATCTCTCCAAAGGGGTTAGTCACAACCAAGGCACAGCTCAGGATGGAGGCAAGAAAAAGTAGTCCTATAACAACGTCCCCCCCCCCTAAAATATAAATCAAAGTGACTACTGGATCCAGCATTAGAACAAGGTGTACCCCTTCGAGAAGGAATGGGTTCCTGCGCTGCTTCGGTTACTACTAGAGCAAAACATGATCCAGCTGCCGGAGGTCAAATCCCCCGAGCAGGCTGGACAGGAGACACACGAGAGATACTGCGCCTATCATAGAAGAGTAGGCCACCCCACTCAATAGTGTTATACGCTCAAAGACATTATCGAAGCCCTTATTAACAAGGGTCAGATAAAGCTCGAAGAGCTAAAGAAAGCATTCGAGGCAATTGAGGCTTCCCACGTAGCGACAATCCAAGAGGAAGACGAGGCACCTACCGTCCTTCTTGCAGTATTCTCCATAATGCTCGAAGAAGGTCTCAACTTACTGAAGACAACAAGGCAGCCCAAGTTCCTGCCTCCAGGAATTGAGAACCTCTAATGTCCGTATCATTTGATATGAGGCCATGACTTGAGTGAATGTACTGGCTTCCACAAGCTCTTGGCAAAGAAGATGTAGCACCACCAAGAAGTTCATGGTAACCCAGAAGTCCATGCTCTACCAGTGCAAGAATACCTCCCGACACAAGCACAGGGAAGTGCACTAGACCTCAGCAGAGCCTCTTTGAGGCGATGCTCCAACAGGGTCTTGTCACTCCCAAGCCCACCTGGCAACCTAGGCGTCTTGGTCAGGGTACGGAAAATCTCTAGTGCCCATATCACCAGGTATGGGGTCATGAGCTAAGGGAATCTCTGGGTTCAAAGCTATAATCACGGAGAAGGTACAAAAAGGATACATTGTTTGTGCCATTCTCCCAGAACGCTTCCAAGCCATCACTCCCGTCCAAGAGGAAATCTCATTACAGGTCCCCTATGAGCATACACTAGACCCTTCAAAGCCCTTGACTTCTCAGCATTGGGAAGTCTACCGTAGATGAAGTAGGCTCAAGTCCCAGAAGCGTGAGGCAGTCCGCGAAGCTCGGGCTACTCATTAGCCCGATAAAACAGATCAAACACCTCCCAAGAAGGAGACGAGCGCCCAGGTCCACTCGTAGAAGGAGCTATATCCCTCAACCACCAGTTGAGGAGCAATTCCTCAAGCCCCTTCCTCCACTGCCGACCTTACAAGACTTCATCCTAGGCGCAACTCGCCTTATCCCATCGTCCAATCAGGTGGACGTCCCTGAGTCATCGATTGCTGAGGACTCATCCAATGCGGGTGACGACTTAAAAAGCATTCCCAACTGTCAGTGCTAGGGCAAGACCTAAAATGCCCCCTGCACACGTCCAATTATGGTGAGGACATAATCCGCCTCTTCTTCTTCTCCTCTGTTTTTTTCTATCTCTTTCACAGGTACAGCTCAGCAATGTCCAGACCTCGAAGCTCTAAATAAAAAGCTCGAAGGCACCAACATCAGCAGGTCGCACGGGATGCGCCTAAAAATGATGATGGCCCAGGCAGTTGGATTCTTAACCGTCGCTGATGCCCTGGCAGCCCAAGCCAACACCGAGCCATCTTCAAGCTCATGTTCCAATGATGCCTCCGATATGGTTCAGATCACGGAAGTATCATCCAGCACTGGGCAAATGAGCCTAAGATCAGGGAAGAAGCTACAGCCCACACCTCAGAAGCTCAAGGTCCTCAGGTTTCATGATCCTTCACTTTTCCCTAAACCTCAACCTCAAGCCTCCACATCCCTAATACAAAGCTCTATGACTTCCCCATCAACCTAGATTGCGCCGGTCGAATAACAAAGTCAGCCAGTATCACAAACCAAAACTCAACCAAAACCTGCTTCTAAACCTACCCTACCACCTAAACCAGTGACATGAATAACATCGTAGAAGGATGATGATGATAAGGTGAACTATGACGTAGTTGGGCATTTGAAAAAGCTTCCAGCCCTTCTAAGTATCTATGACGCTCGTATGTTGTCCAAAGACTACCGTATGGCCCTGATTCAAGCCCTTTCTAACCCGGAGGTGTACGAGACTGAAGTGGAGCCTATTGAGGTGGACCCAGCCATCCTGAGTGGGTGCTTAGCGATCACCTTTTTCGAATATGACCTTCAGTTGGGAGGAAAAATTCACAATCGCCCCCTCTTCGTGGCTGGTGAATTACATGCCTGCCCTATCGACCGGATTATGCTGGATGGAGGGTCAGCAGTCAACCTGATCCCAAGAAGGATCCTCACCTAATTGGGATTAGGATCTGGGGACCTCACTCCTACCCACATCACTGTGCAAGGGTTCAACCAATCAGGAGAAAAGCAGGTTGGGACAGTTTGTCTTCGCGTAAAGATCGGTGACCTGAATGATTACGCTCAGTTTCATGTAATCGACACCGATACATCTTACAATGTCTTGCCCAGCCGCCCTTGGCTTCACAATCAGGGGGTGGTTCCGTCCACACTTCACCGTGCTTGATGCGAGTGCTACAACTTCCAATTTGAAAATAAGGAATCGCCATGAAGAGAGAAAAAATAAGATCCGCATTGAAATAATAGAGAAAGCAAGAAGTAAGAAACATGAATGTTTATGTTAAGACAAGAACGGCTTGGATGTTGTTCGACAGATAAATTTGTTAAGACAAGAACGGCTTGGATGTTGTTCGACGGATAAATTTGTTATCTATATGCCACTCTAGTTATGACAAAACACCCATGAACTTTTCTAATAACACCTTTGTCTCAACTCTGTGGCATTTTGTGTGAGAGGATTGTCCTATATATTTATGTTTTTAATGTATAAATAGTCACACGAGAGAAGAGGTCCTATGCTCATGCCCACACTAAGATTAGAACTCAAGGCATCACATCCTCACCACAATGCCTTTAGTATCATAAAGAGCAAAAGAGGGCGAGAATTTAATCCGATAAGATTTCTTTAAAAAAATGATAAAAATCTGCATGCAATGAAATGGTTTCAAGGTTTGCATATCGAATACCATTAGCAATAAGCTACCATTAAACAATTCAAACCCCACAATAGCATGATGCAGTTTAAACAAATTAAGTTCATAATTCAGACAAAGTGAGTGATTTAAAACTGCTAGATATGGTTAATTTCAGAAAAGACAAAAAATCTTAGACTAAAAATATTCAAAACATTGTATATGAAACAATCATATCAAATATGGGTGCTGGAGAAGTTGGTGGCGCCGATTGGTGGCAGAAGCTCCCGCAAGTGGACATGCTGCAATTTCGGTACAGGGGAAGGCCAGCCATTGGGATTGCGGGTGAGCTTCAGAAGTGAATCCCTCACATGCTCTATCTGTATAGCTTCGTTATCCCTCATCTGGCAACAACACAAACACACCAATTTGCATTCTCAGAACCGAGAGGGTGGCGGCTCTGTCCCAGAGAATGGCAACAACACAAACACACTAATTTGCATTCTCATAACCGAGAGGGAGGCGGCTCTGTCCCAGAGAAAGGATTGTTGAGACATACCTCGACCTTGAAGACATTAAGAACGAGGCTCATGTAAGTAGTGTCCTTTCTGAGACATACCTCGACTTTGAAGACATTAAGAACGAGGCTCATGTAAGTAGTGATATTAACATGGATTACTTCGAGGCCCAAGGCATCCATGGCCTGCATTAGCCTGGCAAAACCACCACTGCTTTTCTCGCAAAATATCTTCAGGTTGAACTCATGGGCGCCTACTTGGTTAACCTCAACCTGAACCTGAAAACAAACTGAAAACAAATCACCATTCCTTATTTCACTATTAGGTGGTTTTTGGAGATTAAGTATTGGAGAGAGATGAAGATAAGAACGAGCGAGCCGTGATATCTGCTCTGAGATCGGACACACCTCCATTTGCTGTTGCTGAACCTTGTCATCAGAAGAGTCATTGTTGATGTTGGGGATATGCAGCAGGTGATGAGGATGAGGATTCCTCAACTCGCTCCCCCATGACGCTAAAGTCGCCATGGTTGTTGCTATCAGAGGAAGGGGTCGTAGCCAGAGGAGCACCACCATCGCCTCCGTTCCCTTGCTGCTGCTCTTCCTCAGTTGTCACATCCAGCTCCTCCTGCAGTGCCTTCATTAGCATCTGCAGCTCCTTTACATACTCTATGGCATCATCCAAGATGGATGCCCTGTCCATCTACAAACAATCTCATACCCACGAAATTACATATGTTTACTTCGAAAAAAAATGAGAGCATAGTTGAAAGATGAATAAAGGAAGATGGAAAAAAGACTGAAACGGATTATAAAAATGAGAGTTCACAGTTTGAAAATTAAAAAAAAAAGAGAGAAGGGGTTGGGTTGTCATGTTGGCCTGCCTTGGTGATCTTGGGCACGAGGGAGCGGAGGCCATAGAGCCTTTCATTGAGCTTCTTCCTTCTCTTCCTCTCAGCCACCAGGTTCTTAGATTGATGTTTCCTTCCAGACCTTCCCTTTTGTTCGTCGTCATCCTCGTTGCAGTCAGAGATGGAGTCACCCCTCCGCTCACCCTCCTGCTTCACCTGTGATGAGGATGATGTCGATTTAAGATTGGGGAAGGAGATTGGAGGCTTCATCATGTCATCTGAGAGCATGGAGTCGGCAAAGCCATCAAAGAGAATGTTGTTGTTCCTCAGCTGCTGTTGGCCATACGACCCCCAATCCGAAGGAGAAGGGACACCAGTCCATGGGGGGTGGTGATGGAAGTCCTTTTGCCTGCTGCCGAGCATTTGGTGGTGGTGGTAGTAGTATCTTCTTTCGTAATCTTCCTGTAGGTCTGCAGGGATTGGGGCTCGAAACTTTGGTGTTTTCCGACTAAGTTTTCCAATGAGAAATGGAAAGGTATTTCCTTTATGGCGGAAGATGAAGAAGAAGATATCATCATCGCTTCCTGCCTCTGCTGTTGCCAAGATTCCTGATGGAGAGGGTGTTCAGGGGGCCAATTTGCAGGCCACTGCTCGTCCATTACAAACTCAATCACCTCGTGGTGGGCAGTTAGTTAGTTTTAAAGGTGATGAAAATAACAAATTAATAAATAGCCATGAGAGAGTAGGCGAAGAGTGGTGAAAGCGTGATCAAGAGGGATTGAGGGGATTCCCTTCTTTTTGACCCCACCCAGTACTTGAGGGGTAGATTCGATCTGGGTCTCAGTATGGGCCTTTTAAACCCAGTGGGTCAGGTCTCGGTCCAAATCTTGGGCATGAAGACTATTGAGGTATGTGCCTAGGTCTGGTAATATTTTTTGGGTCATGATATATGAAATATATTTAAATAATACACATATTTTAATTTTGGATGTAGTTTGCATGCGGATGCATTTGTAGGTGTAGATGTAAGGTGCACCTTCAAATTTTATCAAGGTATATAATTGTCATGCAAAATGTTCTTAGGATTATCTCAAAATCGATTTTTATATCTAATTATAAAATTTTAAATTTAAAAAATGCTTAAAATCAAATAGATCTATAAACATATGAAAATCTTGAAAATGGATGGTGTAGATAAAAATAGTTCGTTTTTAATAAAATTATGATATTTTCGTTCATCATTTGTAAGTGTAAACGATCTCATTTTCCTGTTAAAATTATTAATTTTGTCTATTATTAGAAATTTTAGACATTGTAAATTATTAGAAATAAAAATTGATTATTTCGTTCTATTGTTATGACTTTTAGACACTGTAAAGTTTATGTGGAAGTGACCTTATTTTCCTATAAAACAATATTTGAAAACGTGGTAATTTCTCGTTGAATAAAAATATGATATTTCCGTCTATTGTTAGGAATTTCGGACATGGTAAATTATTAAAAATAAGCTTATTATTTTTGTATCGCTAGGGATTTTAGACACTATAAATACTAGAATTGAAATGGATTGTTTCTATCCATTCTGATGAATTTAGACATTGTAAGTTTTATGCGTAAATGATTTTATTGTTATGTGAAATAGTTATGTGAAAGTTTTATAATTTCGTTACTGGTAAAATTGTGATATTCTGTTTAGGGTCATGAATTTTAGATACTATAAATTATGGAATTTTTTTTTTAAGAAGATTATAATTTTGCTATTTATTGTACAAATTCTAGATATTGTAAGAGTAGGTGTAAGTGACTTCATTTTCCTGTAAGATCAGTATTTGAAGAAAACAAATATTTATGTAATACTCCGAGAGTATTTCTGCATTTAATCGTAATATTTTCGATATGTTAAAATCGGCGTACTTCTGTATTTAATTGTAATATTTGTAGCATAAATCTTAAATATTGTAAATGTCATATGCGATTGTTATGTGCAAGTATTATGTGCAACCGTTATGTACAAATATTCTGTGTAAGTGTTATGTGTAAATTTTATGTACAAGTGGTTATGTGCAAGTGTTATGCGTAAGTGTTATACACAATTGTTATGAGCAAGTGTTCTGCGCAAATGTTCTATGCAAGTGTTATGTGCAAGCATTATGTACAAGTGATTTGTGTAAGTGTTTGTGCGCTCTTATTATGTGCAAGTGATTGATAATTTCAAGGATATTTTGAAAACACGATATTATTGTTTTCTAATATCTACTACATCGATATGTGGCCTGTAATTGATACAATAATGTCTTTTGAATTTATGTGCATGGTAATAAGATATGTGTGCATGGCAACATGCTTCTGATATGATATGTGTGCATGGCAACATGCTTCTGATACGATATGTGTGCATGGCAACATGCTACTGATAAGATCCTGTGTGATATGTGCATATGGGCACATGCTGTGTGATATGATGGGCTGGGCACCTACCGTATGAATGATGGTGCCAGCTGCTAAAATTTGGGCATCTACTATGTGAATGATGGTGTCGGCAGCTGAGATCTTTCTCTGGCTTTCTGTGATAGGATGAGAGTTAGGATGTGACTGTTTGAAAGGGTTGCGCCCCCCCAAAATTTTGTGTGAGGTACTATCCATTGGACCCCTTTGGTAGTGTAATGCCCTCCAACTAGAAGGGCAAGGAGAGGATCGCGTCTTGTAAGGCCTCCGCCTATCAAAAGCCCTAAAGTGCGCTGGCGACTGTGTGCGTGTATGAGGTACTACGCAAAGGATTTACCTGTTGGTGGTGCTTCTTCCTATGGGATAGTAGAAGTTCTAACCTTGGACCGAAGCCTGGGACCTGAGGTTGGTGCTTTTACTACAGGACTTTTGTTCTTGTGAATGCCTACTGCAGAACTTCAGTTATTGTGAATGCCTACTGCAGGACTTCTGTTGTTGTGAATGCATACTGCAGGACTTCAGTTGTTTGGGAATGTTTACTATAGAACTTCTGTTGTTGTGAATGCTTGATCGCAGGACTTCTGTTGTTGTGAATGACTGCAGGATTTCTGTGGTTGTGAATGCTTGTTTGATTATATCTAATACTTAATGTTGATATTAACATGAATCATGTGTATATGATTTATGTATCATGTTTATTTACTTTGTCTAATAAGGAATACAGGATATGTGTAAGATCAGAAATGAATCTATCTAATAGCATGCATTAGAATGTATGAAATCAATACGTCAAAATTTTGCTTAATATGCATTCTTTAGAAAAGATCTACATTTGTCAATTATGATTATTTTTTTAAGGATAATGATGGTCACTTACTGAGTAACCAAACTCATCAAACTATGTAATTTTTTTTCAGAGTAATCGTAGCAGGAGTAGTTTGGAAGAAGTTTGTAGTTATGGATAAATTCGCCTTTGTAACTTTTATAATATCAAAGTTGTATATATATATAAATCCTCATGTTATTATGAGCTGTGAAATAGACTTTGTACAAGTCTGACAATTTGTGAATGGAAAAATTGTTTTGTAGCAGTATAATATATAGCAAAAAATTTAGAATTTGTTTTGTTCTTTAATAATAAATTGTTACATCTCAAAAATTTTAGTGTTATAAACTTGGGTTGTGACATCATCGCTTGGCCACACAATTAAAATACCTTCAAATCTTAAGTTAGTAATTGATACCCACTAAACAATTGTTGGAAGAACCAAAAGACCACAAAATCTGATCTACTTGCATTCTCATAACAATAATTCTTTATTGTCTAATGATTTTAAGGCATATAATCCTTGCTATGATGTATCCTTCTTTGGGGTATGTTGGCTGTGGCATTTAAACCTTGGAAACTCAATGGCCTAACTACTGAGCTGAGGGGCTGAAACCTAATATGATGCTACACATTCCAAATTCAAGCAATGAATATAATATATAAATTTGTGAGAACAAAATTCTATCTCCACAGATTTTCTGTGTAGGATGGGTTTTGGTTTAGTTCTTGATTGTTTTTGCATTTAGTACTTTCAAAGGTTCATATTCTCTGAATATCTTAGTCTCTATACTTAGTATTCTCATAGAGGTTACCTCAGATTGTATTCAGATCTTGCGAATTTGTGATTGTATTTTCTAACTTCAGCTTACTAGGATTAACTGAATTTACAACGGAATCATTTATCTTTATTCTCTATATTCTTCTAGGGGTTGACAGGATGTTCAATTTCAGATTTTTCTTTCCGGTGTTATGTTCCACAAAATGATTTGTCATTCAGTATATCACAACTTATTGAATTATTCATTTTCCAGGTCCTTGATGGCCATCATGACAAGCATTGTGGGACTCCATTTTGGCCTTGTTCTTGTCCGTTTTGTGGTATTCATTACACTCCCTTTATTGATTACTTTTGCTGCTCAGAAATAGGATATAATGCCAATTGACTGCATATTGATAAAATGGAGGGGATTTTCTTTCATTAGATTTTGTTTTGGTCTCTGTGTTTTTAAACTTGCACACATTCTTGTCTTTGATTACTCTTTTGCATTTCAGTTGAATGATTCAATGGAACTCATCGATATCCTACCTGCTGGCATTACTTTAATGAACAATACTGCTCATGGGAATTTACGTGGTTTGTGATTGAATATACTGATGAACCATTTTTTTATGTGGTGTATTAAGAAACTGTTGGTGAGTAAATTATGTTATTTGGGATTGAACTTCACTGCTCTAGAGTAAAAAGACATATCTAGAAGGTGCCTGGAGTGGTACAATCTTCAGTTTGGGTGCTCTCATCTCGTTTCAATCTTCCAATACAACACCTCTTCTTTGATCTCAGGGTGCTAGCATTGATCTGGTTAATAGAGGTAGCTGGGTTAGAGAAGAAACTTGAACACATTGATGAATTTATACATGGACATAGATACAAAAGAAGTAATTCACTTGTTAAGATGGAATAATTTAGTATAACTGGAAATTGAATGTCACCAACTACATGGATTGAATGGTGCATTGTGCTCGCCCACTTGACAGTGGTGATGTTTGAAACTTTCTTTTAGCATTTGCAATGTGCTTTTATGAAGATATACTTTGCCTGTTCTAGTGCTTCATATAAGAACTCTTTGGCGGGCTTCCTATCAGAATCACCATCTTTAGGTTTGTTACAGGTCAAGAAGCTATCACTGCATCAATTTTCTCAAACTCATCCCGTAGCCTGCAGCTATTGACAATTCCATCAACTTCTTGTTGAGTTTGTGTGGCCTTTCAAGGCCATGACACCATGTAACTCATCCCTATATTATTGCATTTGTTGGCTCCACTGGGAGCTCAAACAGTTGGATGGCTCGCCCACCCATAATGACTCACCGGACCTAGGCAGTCTGGGGTGCAGGAGAGTTGGCTGTTAGTCAGAGATACCCTTGACCACGGGGTTTCGGCAGTGGCCTAGTTGTTAACGCGAGGGTTTAAGGGTTATCCCTCAGTGGAGGTTGGTATGTGTCTGTAGTGGGAGCTGGGATAGAGTGTTTCTACGTGGGAGAGGCAGCCTATGAGGACAAGGGCCAAATCCCGATCACAGTCTCATTTGCAGCAATATGCATATGACAACTGTTTTATATGGGAAGCTGCCTTCCTAGGAGAGTGCTCAGCAAAGGACATGCCCATGTGCAGATAGAGGAACCCCCACGTCCTAATGTGTGGTGCTCAGATACTTGTCCTCTGGGGTACTCTTGTAATCCACTAAATCACAGTCCCTCCACCAATTGGTTGGCTTTGATGGGCCAATCATGAGTCCCTTCTACTGTGGGTCATGGGTCCCATTAGGTCGATTTGAGAAAGTTTTTGCTAGATCTATGATTGTAAACCTAAAGTGTGTGGTTTCCTTTGATGATATTTCTAGGAGCCAAAAGAACTTGAATTTATTAATTGTCGTAAAAATACTTTGAGTATTTTTGATAATTTTTAGGAATTTTTCTAATGAAAACCAAACATGTGGGATTCATAAACAAGGAACACTAGAGTGACAAATGAAAACCAAACATGTGGGATCAATGGCACATGTAGGGTCAATGGCTAATAGACCTCACATGGGCATTTGGGGTCCACACATGGCCCACTTAGTGGGCCACCAATGATAACGTGGTGATGATGTCAAACATAGGGATCTCTTCATCATACTTGTATGTGTTGTTATCGACCAATATGGAGCTTGAAGTTAAGCCACATGTTATGGGATTTGAGGGGCAAGCATTGGTCTTCCAAGTCTGGGTAAATCGGCTGAGTCGTACACAGATTCAGTGAGTTTAAAACACTTAGTGGTTCCTGTGGAGGCCTATGTTATAAAGCAATTTCTCCTACTCGTGAATATATCAGCTTGAGGTTCTGTGTTAGTGATAAGTGTGTTATTCCTTTTACTTAAATGTGTGTAGGTATTGTTCTGTAATGTTTTCTTGATCCTTGCCAACTACATATCCTCCAAGTTCTCATTTCTATTTACCATATCTCATATTTTGGCTAAAGAAAATGTGGTTTACATAATCTAACTCTGTAAAAATGGAGACATGTACACCATTCATAAACTTTGCCACTATCAAATTTCTCAACCGTGTGTGCAGAGTCCATTATAGTTTTTTTTTCTCAAGATGATCCTTGCAATTATCTTATTATTTGTGTGCTATTTGTTAATGAAACATAACATTTTATTATCTATCTTCTCTTTAAAGTTTGTCTTAAATAATTTGCTTCTGTCATCAACTTTGGTGTGTAGTAATCATATCCTTGGTTTTTAGGTTCCAGTATTAAACAATATAAATTCTTCATTTTTTAGTTGCATATATACTGATGTGTATGGCAAAACTCCTTGTGTTTCAGGACCATAAAGAACGAATTCGACATTGGATGACAGCTTCGATTTTGTTATTTTTTCTTGCACTGCTCCTTACTTTTCTAGGTCAGTGCTTTGTGAAATGGGGAAATTTTATGGTGTTGTTCACAAAATGACTACAATATACCATGTGTTGTTCAACATTCTTTAAGAGTTGCATTTTATGTGCTTGAATCGGTTTTTTAACTTTGTGGTTTTTTGCTGTAGGAGTTCCTTTGAACAAATCTCTTTACACAACTAGTTACATGTTGCTAACTTCTGCCACTGCAGGGCTCCTCTACTGTGCTATATATTTATTGGTGAGTCTAGAATGTTAATTCCCTACCCATTGTAATGAAAATCCAGCATCCTTATTTTATTACTATGGAACTATGAATATGAGCCATTAACTAGAACCCAACTATGGTTTACTTTAAACAGAGAGCCTGACTGAATTAGTTGCCAACACAAATAGTGGACCATTTTGTTTAGAGGAAAGTTATCTTGTCAACTGAAGCATTTCTTGATGCTGGAAAGCATAACACTTCGTTCATTTGATTGTTGCGGCTTATGGATCACTTTGTTATTTGGCATTGTTTAATCTATATCTATCTAAGTTTGTCATTCATACAGTCCCCTATTAATGTTAAATCTCTCTCCCTCTTATGTGGAGGAAGTTTGGTTCTCTATCAAATATATGGGCCTTAAAGGCATCATCTAAATTGAAAAGGTCCATCTTGTTCAACTTAATTACTGTAAACAATAGTTACAAATTGAACGTTGGAGAGAGGATAACAAAGTAAACATTGCAGAGAGGATCAGTTAAAAATGGATGGTTATCTCCTACATAAAGGGATGAAAGAACCCAATTAGTATCCTGGTTTTTGGATAATTGATTCCTACAGAGAAGAACTATCTTTACATCCCTGCAATCTCCACATTCTCTCCAGATTTCTCATTGGCTCCGTTTATCATCAAGTGAACAACTTTTTTCTTTAAGTAGTTACCCTCGATAATTTGTTTGGGCTGAGTTTTTCCTCCATTTTATTTATCATCATGGTCTTCAACTCTTGTTTGGGGTAATTTTATACATAAGTTTTGTTTTTGCTCTCTCTAAATTGTGTAGGCCTAAATTGGACTTCTCAATCTCTTTAGTTTATTGGGTAAACATGTTGCAGAGGCAGCAGTTATCTCGATGACCCAATAAACCAAAACTCACTATTTTCCATTCAATGTTAGCACCTCAATATAGCTTTTAGGTATATCTCGATGACCAAATAAACCAAAACTCACTATTTGCCATTCAATGTTAGCACCCCAACATAGCTTTTAGGTATATCTTTTTTGAGTTTAAAAGCGGGGCTTCTTCTCTCTAGAAATCCAATGGATTATCTTAGTTATCTGTAATACAAATTTTGTCTCTCTGAACCTTTTATTCAGTCAATAGAAACCCAATTTTTTTGCCTATCAGTTAGTTGAACAAAGAAAAATGGGTGGTGCTCTTTCTCACGGCCTTCAACCAAAAAGAAGGAAAATGGAAGCGGGGTTGAACTGCTTCACCCATCACAGTAGCCACCAGCAAGCTTGTTGCCTACAACTCTTTGGGTCATCTTCACCAATCTCTATAGTTGCTGATGTATGAAATCTTCTTTTAATACCATTCTCTAGGAAGCCAAGCTCGACATTGTTATGCCTCCTATTAAACTATTCCAGCAAGAAAGGAATTTGTTCTCCAAGGTGAGCCCGTCAATTTCTCTTATCATTTGGTTTGCATGAACCACTGAACCAACCTGCTGTTGAATTTTCTTTGAAGAAACCTGCTGCCAACTTCATAGTTTCTCAGTATTACAACCGTAATCACTTCAAAATAAATGCACTAGGAGTGCCCCACATCAAGTGTCCTCAATTTGAGTGACATTTACTCCGTGTTTCTAATTAAACCTTTGTTCATTAATTCAAATTTTTGAGGACCTAAAAATTATTTTCTGAGCACCTGGAAACCATTAGGTTGCCAACACACAGACTGCAACTTAACTGAAAATTACAATCTAGCTAATTATTCGTTGTTCAATTGTTGGTACATTTAGGATCATCTTTTTTTCTTTTTAAGATTCCCATGGCTAGTAGAATTGGAATGGCTGAATCATCAAAAATAGAAAATGGGCTAGAAAATGGAAAAGGGATGTCTCCTCATCTGGAAAGCCGGCTCGCTAGCAATTAGTGGGTAAGCAACTAAAGAAGAAGGAATAAGCTAAAAGGTTCCATGGAGGTAGCCTAATTGCTCAAGACATCTGTGCTAATATTAATGCATGATGAATTTATTAGGGTGTTTGAAACTTATGAGACATTTAAGAAAAATTCTAGAAGCAATAGCCAAAAAATATGACACCACTCAAAAACTCACCACCAACTAGAGCAATACAGGTCATTCAAATGAAGGTTGACAATGTGGTGGAGCATGTGAACCAAATGCTTGTTATGGCTAAGGATTTAACCGCTGTTGGGATGAAGTTCTTGAGTACATGCAAGTCTCCACCATCTTGAAGGGACTTCCCTTCTCATGGAGGATGATGATCCCTTAATCTAGGAGACCTACACTTACATTGAACACTAGAATAAGAGCACATGAATGACGACATAGAGAGTGAGCTCATGCCTGGTTAAGGTTATCCTAGACCTAGTTAATCCAAGCACAAATAACATAAGTTTCACTGGAAATTTAACAAGAGAAACTAGGAGTTATAAAATAAGGAACATAAAACCCACACTCAAGAGACTAATCTAGAATCCCCAAAGAGCTTCACAATAAGAAAGCGTGATCGTTTCAAAGATCAGTCCTCAAAGATCCGAAACCTACAAAATTGAAAGCATAGGGAACGTTGGAGCAAAAGGCTTGAAGTGGTTTGTCTGGTATCATAATGATTAATTGTTTTTTTTTTAAACCGATAATGATTAATTGTTGTTGGAGAGTAAGGGTAACAACATCTACTCTCATATATTGGGGGTAGGAACATCTAGGCCGTTTAAGAATAGCTAATCTTGGATTAATTAATATATATTTTCCACCCAATATGGGTTACAATGTTGTATTTGTCCCTCCACTTGAAAAGGCTTTGAAGTTCTCTTCTAGTTCTTAAAGGTGTCTATTGGGAAGCGAGTTCAAATTTATTTATAAGTTCATCTGATTGATGAACAGATTTGCTTCTTGATGTAAATGAAAATAATGCTAATAAAGTTGTTGCTTCTTTTGGTTATTCAGATTGTATAATGGTTGTTGATGCACATATGTGGTACCTTGGGCTAAGGCATATTAGTAAATATAAATAAATAGTCCAGCACTTGTCACTACAGTGCAAAGGGGGCGGGCTTTCTCTATGCACATGTACACGTGTTTCTTTATAGGGTTGTTCCTCAGTAATGCGGTTGTCAATGTGATGTCGTGCGAAAGGTTGTTGAGGTTTTGACCCTTGCTTTCACAGGCCTACAACCGTACACAAGAGACTACACAATTTTCTTGGCCTACAAACATCATCCCTGGGCATCTCTTCGACCTCAACAATGGATGACCTACAGTAAACCCTTCTCAGTAGTGCTACATGCCCAAGGCTAAGGGTTTTGGACATAACCAGCGCCATAAACTACCCAACCCTTGGTCAGTCAACACATACACACACTCCCACTGAGTGCATATTCCACTATAAAATTTCATTTTTACAAGTTCTCTAGGCCTTTAAAGCCACAAAACCCAACAATAAACCTCTTATAAAAAGTAGCTAGCCCTTGCAAACTACAAACATCATGCACTGTAGTAGGAGTAGGCAATCCTTAATAACTGTTATCTTCCTTTGGTCAACCTTAATCCCCTCTGTTGAAACAAGTTAACCAATAAAGTTTAAGTTGTTTGTCATGAACGTATAGCTGCTATTCTCGTAACAAGTCAAGCATCAATCGTAACTACTTCATATGCACCTACTCAACAATGATGTATACTGGAATATTATCAAAGTGTACCACCACAAATTTGTGAATAAAAGGCTTGAACACTTGATTCATCACCCTCATAAAAGTACCGGGCATATTGGAGAGGCCAAATGGCATTACCAACTACTCATAAAGGCCCTCTCGGGTTTTGATTGCAGTTTTCCACTCATCTCTAGGTCGAATAGGGATTTGATGGTACCCACTCCTCAAATCTCTCTTTGAAAACATAGTAGCACCAGCTAGCATATTTAACATGTCATCAATGCACAAAATTCAAAAGCGGTATTTGATCGTGATCTTATTAATGGCCCAACTATGCACACATATGCACCAAGTCTCATCCTTTTTGGGTGTCAACCAGGCCAGGACAACGTAAGGGCTCATGCTCTCTTGGATATAGAAGCTTTGTGACCTGCCTCTGCAACTCATCATGCTCCTTTGGCCTCATTCTAAATGCAGCCTTGTTCAGTAGGCTAGACTCAAGAACGATGTCTATGTGATGTTGAATGTCCCTAATGGATGGTAACCCTTCAGGTAACTCATCCGAAATGACATCACTATAGTCCCTCATTAAGGGCTCTAACTGAGGTGATTCTTGAAAGCAGAGTTTGATACTAAACTCGAACTCAAACTCATTCTGTCGTTCGGTCAAGTTGCCTCAGTGACACACAATTTGAATAATTATAAACAAATTCCATATTATTAAGAAAATGCTATAGACCTTAAAAGAGGAAACTGAAAGAAATGAAGGAAAAGGAGAAGAAAATAGGAGGGGCACTGAAATAAAATTGCCCATTCCGTATTAAGTGGAGCTATAGACCTTTGATGGGACTACTTTAACTTCCTATGATCTAGAAAATTGAACAATTCCCAGGTTGTTGTACCCTAGAGTCAACGTATTATGAATACACATTTGCATGTCAGGCTTCTTCTAAAAACCGACACAGGAAGTTCCCTAGTTAATTCAATTTGGAAATGCCCTGGGGTTGATTCTGATTTTCGGACTAATAGATAATCATAGAAAGAAATCTAACAAGTCGATGTTTGGACTAGAAGAGGATATAAGGCCATTGAACTTGATTGTTGGACCCTATAAACTTAAAAAGATTGAGGTTCCAAAAAAGTTATCAAGGGATAGTAATATCTTAGGAAACTGCTGATGGTTGTAGATCTCAGTGGGTTAGCACCTATATTTGGTAGTTAATAATATAATAAAATCTCGCTCTTATTTCAAATTAAGTGGGAACTAGGTCAAGATCATGACTTCTCGTTCTCCTATAAGTTCCCGACATGTATTCATTCAGGGGTATTTGACTTGCTCAATTGCACTGGCCCGTCCAATTCATATGCCTTGCAAAGCTTTCATGATTGTGTCAGTAATGATGTTGGGGCTAGTACATGTAGATTCTCATGTATATTTTATTGGTTGAAAATATGCTACTAATCCTCTTTCTTGGTGGAATACAAAAATCAATCATTTAAGGTCAGTTTGTATAAATAGATCATTTTCTGATACTTTGTTTAGTGTGTATCTTAATATTCAACCTGGTAATTTGGTATGAATACCACTGGCATAGTTAATTGATGAGTTAACTGCTCATCAACTTTTTGTCACAGGTGATGATACTTCAAGACTTCTCGACAACTCAAGCTACTGTGTATATAGAAAAGCCTATTTTACTAGAGCCCCAAGCACCAAGTTAGAACTCAAGACCTCAGGCAAAAGGAAGTGAAGTATACCACCGTGAGTGTCTTGTTTACATGAACAAATAATTTATATTTACTATATAATATTATAAAGTGTTATTCGGTAAACAACACAATACAAAACTTAATTCTTGGGATTCAAACCCAAAACTTCTCCACAGCAAGGAGCATGTTCTATCTACAAATATCGGTATTCAATGTAAAACTTATCTACATTATATTATAGAAGCATTATTCAATATAACATAATATGTCTACCAACCTATCCATATCTGATCTTTTGAATAAAGAACTAAACATCTTTAGACACTGACACTTGTATCAGTACCCACGTAACAATGTCCTGAAGTAAACTGGTCAAGCTGATAGCATTGCTTGGAAGTCGCAGATGCATCGTATATAGCTGCAAATTTGTAAATTGCGTCCTAAGGCTTGCTCTTCCCTGAAATTTGGGAAGGGCCTTAAAGATACACATAATTGCATATGTTCTGTTTGATGAATGCCCTTGTGAGATCTTGTCCCTTAATATTCTGTCATAAAATAAAACCTTGAGGAGATGTTTTGCACTTAATAGCTCCATGCTATCATTCTCCCTTATTAAAGGCATATTGAAGGTCAAAAAATCATTTGAGGTACATGTAGGCGGAGATAAGGAACTATTTGACAGTTAACGTGTGGCCGACATTAAGTTATCTTTGAAATGACAACTTCCGACTGGCCATAGAAAATCACAGATATGGCATGACCTGGTACCCTCATGAACCTAAAATTGCTTGACCTAGCTTCTGAACTATGGCATATATATAGAATTGTGGGCTGCAAACCTTTTGTGAGATCTGGTCCCTTAAAAAGCTCCATGCTGTCATTCTCCCTTATTAAAGGCATGTTCAAGGTCAAAACATCATTTGAGCTATATGTAGGCGGAGAGAAGGATCTGTTTGACAGTTAACACGTGGCCGACATAAAGTTATCTTTGGAATGACAACTTCCAATCTCCCATAGAAAATCAAGGGTATGGCATGACCCTGTACCCTGATGAACCTAAAATTGCCTAACCTAGCTTCTGAACTGTGGCATATGTATAGGATTATGGGATGTCTCCTGATTCAAATGCCTATCATATTGAGAAAAAAGACCAATATCACTAGACTGTAAATATCTAGGTCAAAATACAAATTGATTACTTGATACTTAATGCATCAATTCACCTCAATCGCAATGTGTGTACGTAGTTTTTATATAAAATGGATATTCAAATATCACTTAATATATTGCTAAGTATTTGACGTGAGAAGATGCTCCAAGTTATGAACAAAGAGAAAACTTAATCTGTAAGAATATTCAATATTCTCTTTATGGAAACAATTAATTTTATGGGCTTATGGCCTATAACGATATTTTTTTAAAATTATTTTTAACCTATATTGAAGTCTAGGAACTACATGAGAGCATATTTGAAACTTTTTAAACTTCAGGAACATTTCAAAAATCATTTAGACTTTTTAGAATATATTATTTAAGATGTGCTACATGTAGCAGCACCATTGTTCATTAAAACTGGCATGTGTGCTTTTGATGAAGAATATTGATGATTCCCATGTCCGTACTTGGAACTTCAGGTTTTTTGAGAGGAAATTAGGTTGTAGTAGGTTTGTCAAGTTACCTTTTGTCTTCACCGTTCTACTACACTCATGTTTGGATGGTTGAGGAGTCAAGCATTAAATTTCTTAAGAAGATGGCTAAGGCCCACCCCTCCACAGTACACCACTAGAAAGATTTGAACTAGACCTCATATCCCATCTCTCTTTCACCATATCCCTCTAAACATAACCAGAATTTGGAGACCTTATCATGGCCGCTTTGCCAAAGCAATCGAATCAATGATCACGTGATTATGATTCTACCTAAGCTAACACCATTATTGAAAAGTGAGGCTAACTTCTTCAAACCACTATTATTGGTTTGTCTTCACCCAAAAGATAAGATTTTAAGGGCATTGCTTTATGTGCAACTAAGTATTGTAAATAACAAAACCCATCCCCAGCAAATTTCTGGACATTGGTGATGTAATTTTCTTGTGGTGAGCAAACAATAGACATAGCAAGCCAAAGAAAGCTCGAAGATGGTTATAAAGCTTACTCTCACCATTCCAGATTTCCCTTCAGATTTGGATCTCTGTAGAAGGCATTCCTCACTATGCATGCTAAAATATGAATTGTGTTTCATGCTCAAGGTTTAGGGGCTCATAGGAATAATGCAGACAGATAAAAGATGAATACTATTTGTTGGGATGTTTGGTGCTAAGTAAACCTACATAGAGCTGGCAACATGCTAGATCTGGTCTGGGTCATCCTTGGCCCTAGTCCAACAACCCTGGTGCCTATAGGGCTGGCCTAAACCAGCCTAAACCAAAAGACGCCTTGACCCATGCCCTGCCCTAGACTTGCTAGGCGGGGCCAGGCATAATCAACCCGAACAAAGAAAACAAAAAAAAAGGAAACCCCTGTTGTGGACGGCCAAGGTGGCCTCGGACATCAATCAACATTTTGTGGCTTAGGCCCTAGTTTTTAGGGCCAGGCTAACCTGCCTGTGGTGGGCGCTTGGCCAATTGCTATCCTAAACCTACATGAGAGATTGTTATAGGTTTCCTAGTTTGTAGAGTTCAGCTTCCAATTATATAGGGATGTTGATTCATTCTTCGCTTATCAATCTTCCTACTAACAAACTTCTCAATGGTAGGAGTTTATAGGGTGTAAGATCTGTTTTGGATTAAGATTTTCCAGTGAACCTAAAGTGAAAAGATATAGTTATTAGTTACAATGGTAAGAGATTAGGAAGGCATCATGTAGGTGGTTTTGAATATTCTTTTGAGTTTATAGGGTGTAAGATCTATTTTGGATTAAGATTTTCCAGTGAACCTAAAGTGAAAAGATATAGTTATTAGTTACAATGGTAAGAGATTAGGAAGGCATCATGTAGGTGGTTTTGAATATT